AAGGCCAAATCTTTACCACAAGCCTTTTGAGAGAATATTTCAGATCCCAAAAATTGCAGTTATAATAATGGACTGGAAGAGAGTAGAAGGATAGAAATGGGTTTTGAAATATAAAAGAGAAGTGAAAGTGAGATACTTTCCCAGAGTGGCTCTGGGAAAGAACCACTCGGAAAACTAGGAGCAAAGATTACTTCCCCAAAGTGTAAGTCAATCCAACCCTACTTCCTTTTATCTTCTTACTGCCTTGAGCTCACCTGCTTATATTTTAAAGATCAGAGGTTGCAGTTTTGTGACCCTAGGTGACTTCAGTTTGGGGATTTCCAGCAGGTCCAAGACAGGCCAGGTGAGAGGGGAAGTGAGCAGAGTTGATGGAGAATCCCTGTAAGGGAGATCCTCCTTCAGACTTAGTTCAGATCTTTCTTTCTGAGACTCAGATCAGATTTTCTTTTAGGTCAAATGCATTATCACTTTATTTCCAACATGATTGAAAGCAGTGAGTTTGGAAAGCTAGAGGATAGAAAAACAAGCATCTCCTAAAGAAAAGAGTGAAACTCATTGTCTTCTGATTACTGTCCAGGATTGTAGCCTGTATAACTGCTCTTCCTTCTGTCACAGTACATGCCTAGGAAGGTGTAGTAGACAGCTGTGTAACAGCTCAGTCACAGTCTGAAGTAATTGAGGCCATATCTGTCCTTCAGATGTGGATGGGGGGTGATGCACTGATTGGTTGTCACTGTTTTCACTTCCTTATTAGCCATGGGTGGGTGGGTGGGCGGGGCAGGCATCAAATGACATTCAATTTTGCTTGAACCAACTTTAACTTCTTGTTTTATCTATGGTGAGGCAAATATTTTTAAAATGGAGAGACTGAGATGTTTCAAGGAAGACTATAACATTTTGGAATTTGAGTAAGGTGATATTAAATGGAATTAAATGGAAACCTAACCTAAAATTGTGTGATTATAGGACTAAGAAAGATACAATTCCTACTACAATTGCAAATATTATTCATTACATAATTTGGAGTTTTTGCTTGAAATTTGTCATCATGAAGAAAAAATAACTTCAAATGTTTCAAATTAGTCTCTGTTGGAAATTCCTGATTTACCATGAGTTTCCAGTAGTGTTTGACTTTGAGATAATTTCTGGGAAATAAAGGACCTGGGTAGCTCATAAAAGGAAGTAATATTTACATAATTGTGTGAGAAAAGCTAAAATACTTCACTGCTGCTCAGCATAAAAAAATGAATTATAGATTTTACTTTCTAGATAACACCTGTATAGCTTAGATAACACATATGTACATTTTCATTTGAAGACTTTCATACAGTATAAAACTTCTAAGCATAAGAAAAATAAAAATCGACCTTTCTAAAAATTTATTTTTATAACATTAAGTAAAATTGTTCCTAAAGTACATGTCATCCATTACAATCAATCCTTCTGCAGTATGTCCTATTCAGACAGCAGAGAAAATTGCTGAGTGTTATCTGACATGCAGTAAATTTCTTTGAGTAAAACAATGATGATGATGTCATCATTTAATGATGTTGGTGTCAAGAAAATTTTAATTGCAATTGTTCTAATCCTTCTCCTGTCATCCTCCCTCTGATGCATCTTCTGTGTTCACCCAGGCCCACAGTCTGGACAGAAATGTGTATCAGGATCAGTGTGTGTGTGTGCGTGCATCCATGGAAAGGTGTGCTGTGTGGATTGGTGAGGGTGAGGCTGCACGTGTGCACCAGTGAACTAAGGAGTATTGGAGGAGGTGAGGGAGGGAACTGGGTGGAGAAGAAAGGAAGGAGGGTTGTTCAAGTGCAGCTTTGTACCCTTTAAAAGCAGGATTGATGTCAAAGTTAACAGCAGTAAATGTACTCCCTTGTTTAGTTCGAAAAGGTAGCCTTTGTTATTGAAGCAAAGTGTTCTACCTAGCAGAGTTTGCAAAGCAAAGTGATACAGGAGGAAAACTTACAGGCTTTAAAGCACTCATAAGAGGCCCAAAGTAGGAGCTGACTGTCTCCCTTTCACAGCATCCTTCCCTCCCTTACTACTGGAAAGGGTACCAGGGAGGCTCTGAAAGCAGGAGTGCACCCTCCCAGGTAGGAATCTTGATGTGGGAAAAGAAAACAACGTTGAGAGACTGTGACCCTTCTACAAGGGAGGTAAAGAGCAGGTGTTTGGCTGGAGGGGAATATTTTACTGTGAGATATTTCCTCACTCTTACCATTAAATCCCTAGTTTGGGTGGGGGTGAGGAAATGACACTTTAGCAAATGGAAATTTGAGAAAATACTACTTACAAGGATATAGAAAAACTATGAATTGAAGCTGTACTGGAAATAGCTCAAAGTACCTGCAGGTGTTACTCTTTTGCTTTTTTTCTCCTCTCTATATTTGTGTTTTCCACCTCAGATTCCAAGTACTATATCTACTAATACAACTGGCTTTGTCTCTGAACATTTCAGCCCCTGCAAATAGCAGTCATGCATTATTTATCCTCAGGAACCTTCCGAGAACCCATGAAACCATTTGCACAGTCACACATATTTGTTAGAAGGGACAGAATCTAAGAGCGAGTGTGGTTTGAGCACCATATTAGGAGTTTGGTGATTTAAGTTCAGGAAAGTCAGTCACTAATTTATTTTTTCTCCAAGCACTAGCCCTTTTCTGTTTCTCACTAATAGATAGAGGGCATTTGAGATGATAGCCTAGATGATCTCCAACTTCTAATATTCTGGAATGGGAAGATTTTTGTTTCTTTCAAAAAAATGTAAAAATTATATGCCAATTGAATTTTGTATCACATAGTCTATCAATGCAATGAAAGTTTCCCATTAAATATGCACATAAAAAACTGTTACTTTAAATAATAAATTAATGAAGTAGCAATTATCTCACCTGAATGTGATCACCAGTGTATTTTGTCTTTCTACTGTAAAAGTAAAAACTTTAGCTACTTATATCCAGTGCAGACAGATATTAATCTTTTTCTGGAGTACAGCAGTTCATCCCAATCCAGTAATGTTTTAAAAGTGTTATCAAAAGAACTTTTAACGGGACCCCAATAACCTTTAAACAAAAAAAAATATTTACACACACACACACACATAGAGGCATTTTCTGAGTAAAAAGTGTCTCATTATATTTATAAGCCCTAGTAGTTACTTGCCTTGTAATCTGTAGTTACAATAATAATTAATTGATATTCACATTTGGGACTTTATTGTTTCTAATTGTTCATTGTGGTATTTCTAAACATCTGAATAATCCACATGAACACTGATGACACTCATTGATTAAATTCAAAATCATAAATTCAGATTTAGCCTTCTTGTGCAACATTTCTCAAAGAAGGAAAGCTTCAGCAAGAGGAAGATTCAAGGGGGAAAGTTTACTTAAATTCAAAATAAGAAATCTGTGAATGAAAAGAACTATAATTAATAAAGTACTGTCATCAGAAACGCCATCCTTTGAGATAAACAATGATGACATAGTTAAGCTTACTGAACCAAAGTTGCTGTAGGGATGGTGCTTAGTGTCAAATATTGGGCACTTTCACTAAAACTGGCAAAAAAAATAAAGTTTGCTATCTGTAGGCAGAAGGCTATGACCACTGGAGTGAGATGGTCAGCCGAAGGTTAAAGGTTATCAAGTGTCTAGGGAAGACCACTTGAAGCTCCTACTCTTTTCCACCAACAGGGAGGACTGACCTTAAGCAACTGACCACAAAGTGGCCAAAGGGTTAAAACTGAGAATTAACAGGCAACAGCAACTTCTTCCAAGATCCTGATGTAGTTCAGATTCCATCTGAGGCTATTGGGTGTTTCAGGAACCCAGGGGATCACTTAATTTAAAAGTGAGAACCAGATGTTAGGACACATTGCACGCACCTCCCAGATGGCTGCAGGGAGTGCTCCTGTCAGAGCCAATTTGGAATTCCCTCCAGAGGTTTATCTCCAGTTTGGGGACCTAAAGCCAGTCCTGTTCCCTTATGATTGCCTCCCTGAGAACTGTTCAGCTTGAGGAACACAAGGGAATCCCTGCTCTTCTTTGCACGAGGGAACCTTTAAAAAAAATGGAAAATTTGTCATTATTCCAGGTGTTTTGCATGGGTGCAGCCCTGGTCTCAGGATTGACTGGGAAGGCAGGCGCTCTGGCCCCTAAAGCAGATCTTTTAGCCACTACCTGGAAGCAGTTGGAAAGTCATCGGGTTTTCCTTCTACCTTCCTAGAATTGATAATGAGGGAAAAATAAAGGGAACCCAGTCAGGAGTAGTAGTACAATGCCACCTGCATACTAACCAGCACCAACCTTCCCCTCACCCATATTCTTCTCCGAAAAGGAGTTTGCCAGAATGATAGTAGCTCCAGGCCTATGGGGATGAAAGGTTATTTTAAGAGACACAATGGCTACATATATGCATATTTTCATGTAATTATTATTTAAGCAGGAAGAAAAACAGCGTGTACACAAAATTTTTAAATCTTTCGGGGGTTGGAGGGGGTGATAATTAAGCAAAGTTCCCTGCAAGAGTTAACTCTTCCTAGGCTTTCTAACGCAAAGGATGTTCCACGGGTTGGGATTCAGTGACAGTCTGGGCACTGGAAAGACTCGCTTAAGAAAGGAGGAGGCCGCCCGCCTACACAAAGCCGCAGGGCTCCCAAGCCGCAGGCCGACCTGCCCCGGGCACCGCCGCCTCGGGGCGCAGCGATGCGCCAGGAAGTGCCCGCGGCTGTCAGGCTGCCCCGCCACTCTGCTGGTGGCCGGGAGAAGTTAGTCACCTAGAGCCCGAAGCCGGTAGCCTAGGAGGTCAAAAAGGCTGGGGAATGAGGCGGCAGGAAACTGGGTACCCAGAAGGCTGGGAAGAAGTGCGGGGACCAGGGAACGCCCTGATAGCGGACAGCCCTGGCGGGTGGATGGAGCTGCGAGATCTGCGAGACCGGAGCGCACACCCCGCCGGCGAGCAAAGGCAAAGAAGAGGGGAAAAAAAAGAAAGAAAGAAAAAAAACTTGCGGCAGGAACTTCCTACCAAGGGCAAGCAAAACAAGCGAGCTGGAGGCAGGGAGAGACCCAAAATGTCTCAATAACTCTAAAAACACACCAAAACACTCCTTCAGGCGATGAGGTAAGCCGAGGTTAGCCAACCCGGATTGGTTGTGAAACATCACACAGACAGGGACTCGCTGTGGCTTTAAATGAGGCAAGGAAATTTTCTGGTTTTTTTTTTTTTTTTTTCCTTTCCCAAATACTGCCCCCGCCCCCGCCCCTTCCTTCGCCCCGGCTCCCTCCTTTGTCCCTCCTTCCTCTGCACCAGGTCCCGGTCCCTTCCTCCCTCTCCGCCTGGCTTTCCTCGATCGCCCTCCTCCTTCCCTTTCACCTCCCCCATCTGATTAGGCGCGGACGGGGAAGGGTGGGAGCGGTGGGGAAGCTCTCCCTTTAAGAGGCAGCGTGCAGTGACGAATTGTTGAAATTGCCATTGCAGGATGGCATGCCGCTATAAATTCATTGTTCCACCTCCTCGCATCTTCACAGCGCTCGCGCTGCTCTCGGCGCTCGCAGCGGCGGACTGGGGATGACCGCGGGTAGGAGGACGCCGCCGCCGCCGGAGGGACACGGACGGACGCACCGGTTCCTCGGCTCGCCGCAGGCCACCCCCTGCGTTTTTGGTTTAATTTTTATGGCCTTTTCCCGACTCTTTCTGCTTTTCTTCCTGCTTCCAGCAGAGCCGAGGAAATCCACAAAATAAGGAAGGAAGGAAGGAAGGGGGCTGCAGAGCCTGGAACCTCCGCAGCCGGCGGGTCCCCGAGCGCCATGGGGACCGGAGGCGGTGCGCGCTAGCTGCCGGCTGGGTGCGCGGGTTCTCCGCTACTTTTCTCGGTGCGGCGACTGCGCCTGCATTTCCCTTTTCTCCTTCTCCTGTATTTGCTGAATCTCCACCACCTGGCGTTTGTCACTCTTTATTTTTACCCCCTCTTTCTTTTTTCTTTTCTTTTTTTCTTTTTTTCCATTTCCTCTCTTCCCAGACCACAAATCCAAACATTTTCCAAACCAACAAAGAAAAGTTCGCACGCCGGCGTCGCGGCCGGGACAGGCTGGCGCGGCTGCGGGTCCCCCTCCCGCTCCCTCTGACACTTGACTCAGCCCGCGAGCCGGAGTGTGGATGCCCCCTCCCCCGCCCCGGAACTTCCCCAGCGAATAACAAACACCCATAAAGTCCCGGCGGCGCGGCCCCTCCCCGCGGGCAGCGCACTATGCTGCTCGGGTGGGCGTCCTTGCTGCTGTGCGCGTTCCGCCTGCCCCAGGCCGCGGCCAGCGCCGCCGCGGCACCTGCCCAGGATAAAGCCGGGCAGCCTCGGGCTGCTGCAGCGGCCCCCCAGCACCGCCGGAGGCAGGGGGAGCACGCGCCGCTGCGGGTCGAGCCTCCGGGCCACCCGCACGCCCTGGCCCCGCAGCGCAGGGGCCGGGGGCTCCTGCAGAGCATCGACCGGCTCTATTCTGGTGGCGGCAAGGTGGGCTACCTGGTCTACGCGGGCGGCCGAAGATTCCTCTTAGACTTGGAGAGGGACGGTTCGGTGGGCGCAGCTGGCCTCTTTCCCGCAGGAGGAGGGCTGAGCGCGCCCCGGCGTCACCGCAGCCACTGCTTCTACCGGGGCACGGTGGACGGCAGCCCTCGTTCCCTGGCGGTCTTTGACCTCTGCGGGGGTCTCCGTGGCTTCTTCGCGGTCAAGCACGCGCGCTACACCGTAAAGCCGCTGCTGCGCGGGCCGTGGGCGGAGGCAGACACCCCGCGCGTGTACGGGGATGAGTCTGCGCGGATTCCGCACGTCTACACCCGCGAGGGCTTCAGTTTCGAGGCCCTGCCACCACGCGCCAGCTGCGAGACCCCCGCGTCCCAGCCCGGGCCTCACGAGCGCCCCCCTGCGCACAACAGTCCAGGGCGACACTCGACGGTGGACCCGCAGCTCCCAGAGCTGTCAGCTCTTTCTCCTGCTGGGGACCCGGGACAGCAGATTTGGTGGCGGCGGCGACGCCGCTCCATCTCGCGGGCGCGCCAGGTGGAGCTGCTACTGGTGGCCGATGGGTCCATGGCGAAAATGTACGGCCGAGGCCTGCAGCATTACCTGCTGACCCTGGCTTCCATTGCCAACCGACTGTACAGCCACGCCAGCATCGAGAACCACATCCGCCTGGCGGTGGTGAAGGTGGTGGTGTTGGGAGACAAGGACAAGAGCCTGGAGGTGAGCAAGAACGCTGCTACCACGCTCAAGAACTTTTGCAAATGGCAGCACCAGCACAACCAGCTGGGAGATGACCATGAGGAACACTACGATGCTGCCATCCTGTTCACTAGAGAGGTAGGTACTGCCAGGGCGGGCACTCCCGGCTCCTGGGTCCGAGGCAAGCAGAAGGAACAGTCTTGCTGATGGCTTTGCTTTTCACACAAACCACCTGCCACTATGGATTCCATTTTGCAGGAACCCCAGCCAGTCTCTATTTCTCTGCCCTTAGCCTTAGTAGCAATTTCTGCCTGAGTGACTACACCTCCTTAGGCAATCAGCAATCAATGATGCTGGATGTCATCCAGTCTGAGATGGGATGGCACAGGCTTGATAAGAAGGCACTAGAATGCTGAAAATGTGCATAAATAGGGAAAAAGGGAAAGCAAGATTGCCTTTGGGATCATCCATCTTCTGCCTTCCAGTGAATCCAAAATTAGAACCCCTTGCAACCTGATAGAGCTTGATGGTTCATCTGTGGTAGTCACGTTTATCTCATGACTTTCCTTTGTAAATGACCCGCTGTGAACCACTTCTGCAGCACAAGTGAAAGGAAGACTTTCCAAAAGACTCCTCCCAATCTGGCTCTCTATTGGAGTTTTTACACATGCACCTTGGAATCTGGGTTCCTGGGAAGGAAGGAATGTGGGAGGGCCAGAAGGAAATGGAAGTCCAATCAGCTGAAGGGATAAATTCATGAGGTTCCTTAGCAAACCCTTCCCTAATCAGTCAGTGAGTGCATCACAAGCACTGCCCAACAAGCTGGCCTGCTCAGCTGCCAAAGAAGGGCTGAATCCAGTTCACAGGTTTGAGTTTGGATGAGCGTGTTTGTGAAGCCCCAGTTCAAAGTATCTGGGCAAAGAGTCAAGATGTGAAGAAAGAATGTTTTCCCAGGATTTCCCCATTTCAAGGAAGGTGGTTACAAGACAGGAAAGAAAGGAATGTTTATAAGCCGAGCCACTCTGGAAGAAAGGCAATATCTATTTTCACAGTTACTAGACCACCAAGTTAGTATGACATTGAGGCAAAGTCCAGATCGATTTGGGGTCCTGCTTCCTAGTAGTTCCGAGCCTGAGTTATCACAACTCTGCTTTGATTGACAGTTTTAAACTGTGTCTCTCAAATGGCTGGGAAGAAACAACTTCTAAGGCTCATTCTTGAGGTGCTTGAGATCCATCCAGAATAGATGAAGTTTTATAAACATCGAAGTATTATGTAAAGAAATGAAATGGAGCAAACAAGAATAGGAAATTAATGATGCATTGCAGGAAACTTTAGAATCAGACAGCTTCACTACTAATTTTTCAATTTTTTTTAATTTACCCATGGGATGGAGGAAAATATGTTGATAAATTTGGAGCAGAGAAACACTTGTGGTTCCTGGGATGGACATAAGTATAAACCACCGGTAAACAAAGAGACTAGAGGGGTAGCACTTTGGGTCAAAAGCAGGCATCACACGGGGCAGTGCATGATGGAAAATCTTTCTCCTCATTAAGTGATATTCTGGAAGCCATCCTTTAATTCCTCTGCACAATATTAGTCTTTGAAATGGTAGAATGTTCAGTGAGCAGCTCAACCTGTGAAGTTCTCCTGTAAAACTATCCTTTTCTTCTTTGGCTTCCAAATCTTTTTTTTTTTTTTTTTTTTTTTTTTTTTTTTTCATAAGCAGCTTTCCATGTCTGTGTTTCCTTTGCTTTGCTAACATCACCAAAGCCTGCCAAGAAGGAGGTTTGGTGAGTTTATGGAATGAGGTTCCCTAAAGAGAGAGGAAAAAATACTTTTGTAGCTATATCACTCCCAAGATTAGGTCATTTTAATATTTTGCATTCATTTTTTGGATAAAACCTGTATTCATCACACCTCTCAGGTAAATACAGTGAGTAGAAGGCCCATCACTCATTGCTATCTGATCCATTAGGCAAGGACTTTAAATGGTGTCTATTGCTTTTTCTGGGTTTCTTTTTTGCTTAGCTAGTTAACAATTCCTGTTACCCAAACTGTGAAACTTACCAGCACACTTTAAATGTATGAAAGTAAAGGATAAATAAACTAATAATGCATGTTAATTGTAGTAATTTTTGTAGGAACAGGCTTTTTCAAGTTAATCTGCACCAGGAATGTATTTAATATGGGTCCCTTCCTGGCCTCTTTAATAACACAGAAGCCTAATTTAGGTAAAGCAAATCTCATTTAGTGTGGTTGGACCTCTGCTGTAGAAATCACAAAATTTATGAAAATTGAATATTTGAAAAACACTTGTATTATAAATAGATGCATCTATATGAAAAATATTTCAAGACTTTTATGCAGCATTCATTTGTAAAGTTAATCACCTAATATTTAAGAAAGTAAAAATCAAGAAGGCTGGAAGAAAGATTACCTGAGTTCGTTAATCTCATGGAAATCAGCTATTTTAAGGCTGAGAGAAAAACCTCATAGCTGTTTCTTTTCAATGAGAAATACCCAGAGTTGGCACCAGGAGACTAATTTTACTACTCTGTTTTGAATGTAAGAAATGTGTTGCTTAGCAGCCAGACGCTAAGCCACCAAATCCATGTTTTGATGGGCTCTGAGTCCTGTTCAAATTTTGTGTCCAGATGTCTTTTCCTAAATAGCTTGTTTTTCAGCCATGAAACGAATGTGTGAGGATATGTTTTCCACCCCCGTTTACTAGCCCAGGCCACCTTGAACTCTGTACCTGAAAGCCAGCAAATAGTGCTAAAAAATGCACCTATCAAGCTAATCCACTTCACTGTTAGGACTGTACCCCAGCATTCTGCTGCTGCTCTAATTAGAGAAACTTAGCAGCCCTCAATTTTCTGGCAGAGGAGCCCTTTTCACTGTGGAATGGAACTTATGCTGGAATTCACACCACTCATGCCATCAAACAGCAGTAATCCAGGCTCCCCAGGATTTATTTTTGCTTTCCAGAGTCATTTTCTTGTTTCTGACCTTCTCCTTAAACTATTTCCAAGCTGGTGACTCTTCCTAAGACAATTTTGTTTTCTTTTGATGACAAAATTGAAAAACGTTTAACATCTTCCTGCAAACCAAAGAAAGCTTTACACTTTCAAGCACTGAAAGCATTATTTTGAATTGAACCCCCTAAGTGCTTTGCAATATAAAAATTGCATTTGTTTTCATAAGCAATCAGTGTGCTCTTTAGTAAGCTGTTTGTTGTCCTCCAGCTAAAACCTCTCTTCGCCCATTCTGCCTTTGGCTTGAATGGGGCTTGAACATGAGACATCCATCCCTTCTTTACCTCTGGCTTTCTTCTTGAGTCCTGATGATGGGGGCACTGGAGGGAGACTAGCAGCTTGGAAGAGAAGGGTGTATTTTTGCCTATTGGCTTGCTGATTAGACAAGCTCTAATCACATATTTGAGTTCAAATTCATTTCAAAGTGAACCCGCATGAGAAATCATAGGCTATAGATCAATCTTCACTAACAGAAGTCTAACCAGTTCAGAAACAGACCTGTAACAAATTGAGGGGCTCTAGCTAATATTATTAAAATAGAATGCAAAATACTCAGAAAAAATCCAGCCTATAAGAGGCAATACACCACAATTCACAGGACCTAATACACTTTTGTGCTTCTCTCATTTGGCAGGTAGCTAGCGATGTGCACTGCCTGTGTGAGACACTCATTTAGGCAGCTAAATGTAGCAAAGTAGAAAATACCTGTCCTGCCCACCAGGCTTATCAGCAGCACAGAGGAAACAGACACAAGTATAAATCATCCTAGAGTTAGGAAAACTGGTAAATGCTGTAATTGAATCATAAACAGTGTCTATGAAAGGAAAGAGAACCCTTGTATCTGTGTCTCTTCACACAGGTCTGATTGCAAATAGAGAACTGAATTGGTCCTCAAAGAATGGACAAGTCTGACTTAGATTCAACTCCCTGTCATGAAGCATTTTTATATGTACTGCATGAACATAGACCACTTTATAATCTTCCTTTCCACTATCTGAAACCATTGTATTATTTTTGAAATTTGACAGGTAAGGAATTTGAGTGCAGAGGGACAGAGACAATCATAGAGCAACAGCTTACAAATGGCAGAGAAAGAAGATAGTCCAGGCTAGTCTTCTCTCCACTAAAAATAACTAATTTATTCAAACATTCAATATGCCATAGGCACACAGGGAGTCAGAGATTTAAAACTGGCACCTCCCTTGAGCATCTGTTCCAGAAAATAGACAAAGAAGTTGGTTACCTTGGTGTAGCATGATGAACGTTTATGATACATAGATGTGGTCATCAGGAGAGATAAAAGTACGGTGTGGAGAGAGAGCGGTTAGCTGCACCACAAGGAGGTAAGCACTGTAGATACAGCAGACCAACACGTGGAGCGCGGTGATTCAGTGAAATAGAGGAGATTAATGATGTTACAACAGGAAAAATGAGGGCAGTGTGGTAATGAATTGGTTGGAGAAGGCATTAATAACCAGATTCCAGAAGAAAGGGCACAACATGTGGGTTTGCCATAGAATGAGTGGCTTTAAGAGAAATATATTTTTGTTTAGTTCTAGAGACTGCAAAAATGAAGACCAGAGTTCTAGCTCAGTTTCTAGAGAGGCCTTTTTCCTGACTCTTTTGCTTCCCCCTCATATAGCCTTTCTTGAATATTGGCAGTCAGATTGAGGAGGGATGGAGAGACAGTGACAGAGAGAGAGAGAGAGAGAGAGAGAGAGAGAGAGATAAAGAGAGAGAGAGAAGTTTCCTTCAAGTCACCAATCCTCCCTGATCTGGGCTTCGTGATTATAATCTCATTTAACCTTATTTATTTTCTCAAAGGTCTCATCTCCAAATACAGTCACACTGGGACTAGGGACTCAGTTTAGCAATTCAGAAAAACGCAATTGAACCCATAACACAGTGCTAAGAAGTTAACATTGTAAACTAAGCACAGTGGTGATTAGAGGTATGTCAAATGAGCTTCCGGTTTAAGTAGTGGCCCTGGATCTTGTAGAGCCAGGCTATTTCAGTAATCTGAACTGCAGAGGTGTCTAAAGACAGCCTAAGCTAGAGCAGGAGCATTAGGAAGGAAGAGGCACAGCCCCAGTCAAG